TAGTCAAGTTCAGAGTACATCTGCTTGGCTCTAAGTCTTTTGTGATCTATACTGATCATGCGTCACCACGCACAGCGACTTTGTCGCCACATCTCTCTCAAAGAATGGCAAGATGGCTTTCTTTCTTTCTTCGCCGAGTCTAACTTCGAGGTGAAGTACAAGCCGGGGCGGCTTAATGTAGTGGCCGACGCGCTGTCACACAGGCCGGACTACGAGTTAGCCCATGTCACTACCGTGAAGTCGTCAGTGCCTGACATAATACGCGCAGTGTATGCACCAAGACGACATGTGTGTAGCTTTGCTACGTGCTCTAGAGAGCGAAGGGTTTAACCCCTTGGGCGCGGAGATAAAATCAGGCTGTTAAGTAGACACGGAAGGGATGAGAATGCCTTGGTTTTATTATGCTTCAAAATCCGCAAAAGCGACTTTGCTTTTGTTTGGAGCTGCGAACGATTTTGATTGGTGTCACGTGGTGAAAGGCCTGATTTCTATTGGTTATGAGGTAGCATATGGGATTGCCTGTGATCCGTATCAGCACATTGCCAGGCCAAACAACTGCACCTCAGCCACTCAGTTTCAGTTTGGACCCCCAGGAAGCAGATGAATTTCGATGCTGTATGGCCGTTACTGCGGAAGGAGAAATGGACGGCACAACGTTCTAAAGGTCTCGACGTTGAGTAAGTGATGGCACAGGTGACAGCAATGCTACTACTAACGTGTTTTATAAATATGACTACGTCAAGCCTGAAAAAAAAAACTGGAAAACGGGTAAGCGAGGGACGGACTACTTCAATGGGGACGATGAGCTGCTCGCCTACGTTCGAGACGACGCCGTGCTTTGTGAGCGTCTTCATATCTCCCAAGTTCTCGTTAGAGACACATCCAAGCCTGGTGGAAGTAAGTTGTGGCGAAACATGTACTATAATGACATCACTAATACTCTTATGTACAGGGAGAACGCGTCGAGTGCCAGAGCGGGTGAACGTGTCAGAGTTTCACAAACGCAAAGCGGGTACCGATGTAAGCACACGTATCAACCAACAGGAAGCATGCCCTCCACGCTCCCCCTCACTAGTCGCAGCAGCTGTACAGCCGCCAAAAAAGAAGCCTAAGCGGAAGTCGAAGCGTCAACTGGAGGAAGAAGCAAATAGCCGCAGACGTGAGGTGTCATCGACCGAAACGACCAGTTGCGCTTGCAGGCAGATTCGTTGCAACTTGCATTCCGGTAAGTCCTTATGCTGACACTGTCTACATTTGTGATGTTTTTAAGCTGACATGTACGTTGATGTGAAACTAGCTTTCAGAAATATTACAAGTCTCTGTCCCTTGGATTAGTTGACATTGCGCTAGTCAACTCCTACATTGTGTACACTGAGCTTTGGGAGAAGACCAAGAAGAAAAAGGACTCGCATTATGCATTCTTGCTTGAGCTGCACTCACAACTGACTAACATTAGCGGAGCTGACTTTATTGGTTCCGCTCAAGTGTTAGAGGCTCCTCCCCGGCGACCAATAGTCATCTCCGGCGGGCACGCAATCGTTCAAGGTGGTGACAAGCGCAAAAGTGGTGAAGCAACCCGTTCTCGGCGGCGTGCATGCAAGGTTTATTCGCTGTTGAAGCAAAAAGGAGCGAAACGTGCATCGAAACGTTCGTGTTACTGCCCTAAGTGCTCGAAGAACAAGAAGGGTTTGACGTGGCTGTGCAATCGCTTGCGAGGTCACTACCAGCACGAGGGGCTCATGTGTGCTCAGATTTGGCACTTGACGTGGTACAACGGCGAATTTAAGCCTACTAGTGGTCACATTCGTGACAGGGCTACCCCACAGTCGTAAGATAACATGCACAGTTTTGGTTTGCTTGGCAGTTGTGTTATTTCATTCAC